ATTATGGTCTGGGACTTTTTCCATGATCAAAATAAGCAAAAAGTTCAGGTTAAGCCAGATTTATACAAACCCATCCCTAACAATGCAAGTGCAAACTTATTGTGCACTAACTCTTGCCACAAGTTGGTCATGGGAGCCAAAGACTGGCTGTAGAATCTGTAACAGCTGGAATACCCATAGCTATTTTTCTTTTAATTTGGAAGAAGGAAAAAAAAACTAAATAGGCAAGTAGAACACAACACAATTTTTATTTTAAAATCAAATAGCAGCTGGAATTTCAGAGGGGCAACTGAGACTTAACAGCTCACATGCTATACACTTAAGCATGTTTAACATTTCAACTCAAGCACTGCTAATACATCTTGTACACATAAAGAACAGTTTGTCTATTGCACTCTCATACACTGCACACAACACAGCATTTCACTGGCAAAATTTCAGATTTACACACACAAGCAGCACCAGAGTAAAAACACAAACGTGCTTTTGTAATACAGCAATAATGTCATGAGAACAATGATTTTTGAATTTTCAAACCTCTGAACAGTCATTATGTTTGTTTTAATATAAAAAAACATTTTTAAAACCATAAAAACATTTTTATCTCATCACATCGTTCAACACAAGTTTGTAAAAGTCTGACCATTCAAAATGGGAGAAAGTATAGACTGGACAGATTAATAAAATACATGTCTGGGGCATCACACATTTAGTTCTCCCTTGCACGCTTTGCACCTAGAACTCTGAATTAAAAATGTTGTTTTGGTTTTTTTTTTTTTTTTTTTTACTTCAAGGAACATTTGGAGAATTTAAATCCATGATTACTGGTTGGGTTTTCTCCCTCTAGAAAAAAAGAGCATAACTTCTGTATGTTCTGAGTTTCCAGTTCAATGCCATCCCTTTCCTGTGTTTTTTCAACTTTGACCTGTTAGTTTTAAAATAAAATCTTGTGGTAACTGAGGCTCTTTTTAAAAAGTGATTCCAATGTACAAGGGATTTCATCACCCCACCTTGCAGTAGGGAAATACCAGACAACATTAGCTAAGGAATAGTACTTTCAGGTCACTTGGGATTTGACAGTAAAATGAAGAGCCAGGGCCTTGTCAAAGCAGTGCCAGTTATCCAACAGAATGTGAGGCAATGGACCAATTCCCATTATAACCTACAGAGAGACTGTAAACAACCTACAGAGAGACTGTAAACAAAGACTAAAGGGCCATGAAGATCACTTTCTGTATTTCATTAAAATAAGGAGCAGTTTTCATACTCACAAAATTCAGAGTGCAGTACTGGGGTCATGTCACTCCATATTAGGCAGCATATGACACCTCTAGCCCCTGAGAGTGATGTGTTTTAGGGGGGTTGAAAGTTGCTCACCCCACCTTGTGAGGCAATTTGTGTGCCACAGATCCTCAAGTATAAAAGCTGCTCAGAGTTTGGCACCTACCACATGATTGCTGCCAGTCAAGCGGATTTAAGGGCATATTTTAATCTCTCTCACATTATTCTGGTCCTGGAATTTTCTGCTTCAAGCTCATAGTAATTCTGAGTTGGGTAACTCAGGCCAGGGCAAGGGGCTCCCCATGATAGGTGTTAGTTTACAAAGATGGCAGTGTTTTCTAATGCTAATGTATTCCCATGCTGCATACCTCAACTAACAGTTTCATCTCTAACAAACGAACTGGAATATGCTGATAGCTCTAACTCGACAGCACAATATCATACAGACAGCGGCCAGTGCCAAATGGTTAGTTAAGCAGATAAGAAAGGCACTCATTCTTCCTTAAAAAAAAAAAAAAAAAAAAGGAAGCTATTGCAGTCAGGCAGACAGAGTGTGGATGGGAGCTGGCAGATTCCACAATACAGAGTCACGTCAAAAATGGCCTCCTGCAAACTGTTCCTTCAAGCATTTGAGTCAACCGAAAGGGAGGAATCTTTCCCATTATCCACAGGAGTTTTACCTCCCTATTCCACAGCAGAGAAACATTTCCTATACATTTTGATATACAATCATGTAAGAAGCTCAGAAAATAAAATGTACTCTGCATGAGAGGAAAACTCCTCTCCCCACTCTCTGTTTCCAGTCCTAAAGTTGAGTCGGGACTTTATTTTGACAGTTCCCTGGTCTGTGAATGGAAAATCCCTCCTCAGCACTAGCAGGCTGGTGTCTGCTGCACACACCCACTGCACACAGCAGAAATTCCAGTCAATAAGGCAAGTGGGGCCCAGGCGCTGGGAGGGGAGGAAGGAGACATACAAACAATAAGAAAAGCATCTGGCTCTGTTACTGGCTGGGAAGGAGACTGGAGTTCAAAAAAGACATAACTGCAGCCTTCACTTCACAGGAAGATCGTATCAATTCTTGCTGCCCTACTTTTCACACAGACCAAAATATGTGGAAAGGGTAATTTGGAGCTTCCAACACACACTTTAATGCAATTCCATCATCTCAAGAATGGTGATGAAACCCACCTTGGACATTTTTGTCCCACAGGACCAAAACAGACCCCTGCTTTAGGCCTGTGGAAACAGCCCAAAAAGTAAAGTCCTTTGCTGAACATGAGTGAGCCATCCCTGTACCACCACACTAATGGAGGCTGCTCTGCTGTCCTTCCCTGGAGATAGCAGCCAAGTCTAGTGAAGCTTTTCTCATAGCAACCAGAGCTCCAGAGCCAACAGCAGCTGCTGTCACTGCCTTCAATGCTTACCCACAGGATCCAGAGCACAGCAACACCCTCCTCCCTGCACCTCTACAGCAAAAAAAAAAAAACCCAAAAAACCTAAATGCTGGCAAAAAGATGACTTCCTGGGTCAACCACAAGAAGCAGAAAAAAAAGAAATCCTAGTATTTCCTATACAAGTGAAAAGAGGAATCTCTGATTATTGAAAAAAATTAAGAAATTCCTTTTTTTGATTTAGATTCCGGCAGCAATACCCAGTCAGGGTGGGGGCAACTGCCTGAAATCCATAATGTACCAGCACACCATCAGACACCAACATCAAGTTCTTCCCTCACCCAAGGAGAGAGATTCACCCCCGCCGTAGCCCCAGTGCTCTCATTACATCATGGCCCGAGCCCGCAGCAGCCCCAGGAGCCCTGCAGCACCCGTGACCTCTCCAGCCCCGCAGAACACGCTCTTCCCCCCGCAACAGCGCACCCAGGATCTCAGCTGGTGTCAGAGGAACACGAGGACACAGCCGGGAAAGGGCTGCGAACCCCCCCTCGCTGCAACACCCATTTCCCCCGCTTCCACAGGGCCACACGCGGCCTCGCCTCTCTCCCTCCCCCGGGACGGCGAGACACTGCCCGGCGCCGCTTCCCCACCCGGCCCGGCGGTGAACTCCCGTCACCGGCAGCCAAGGACGAGCCGCCGGTCGACAGTGACCTTGCCGGTGCCGTCGGGGGTCGGAGCGGGGCCGAGGCGCGGGCAGCGCGGCGGGGAACCCTCCCCTGCCCCGGCGGTGGCCGCGGTGACGGGCGAGGAAATGCGGGAGGATCCGCGCTGCAGCCGCCGGCGCCGGGAGCGGGGGTTACGGAGGAAGGCGCCGCGCGGGCACCATGAGAAAGCAGAAAATGCAGGTCAAACACCGCCTCCACCGAGGCCTGGAGGGGCCGGCGGCTCGGGGCGGGCAGCCACAGCCCGGAGGCTGCCCCGAGCCGGCCAACGACCCCCGCGGCCCCTCGGGACAATGCGAGGACATGGGGGCGCGGAGAAGGCCGGGCTGCAGCGGGGCTTCCCCGGCGCTCGCCTTCAACGACAAAGCCCCGCGGCCGCTCCAGCCCCGGCTCCGGCCCTGGCACCGCACCGGCCACCGGCGTCCCGAGCCCGCGCGCCGCCGGGCCCGCCATGATGCCCGCACACCGCGCCGGACCGGGTCAGCTCGGGCCGGGCCTCCGGGGGCACGGCGGGGCGCTGCCGACCGGGCGGCCAAGGCGGCGCAGAGCAGTGTCAGACCGCGGGCCGCGCAGGAGCCCCCGCGGCCGTCCGCCCAGCCGCCCGTCCCAGCGTCCCCTCCCGCCGCCGGGTACGGCCGGTTCCCGCCTGCCCGCGCCTACCTGGCCGGCCCGTTCCCCGGGCCCCTGCGCGGCACCAGGCCCGGCTCGGCGCCACGGCGTGTCCCGGGCAGCCGGCGAGAGCGAGCGCTCAGCCGCGGCAGCGGCGGCCCCTCCCCCGGCGGCAGCGGCGGCTTCTCCCCGGGCCGGGCGGAAACGGCACTGGGTGCACGGGGATCCCCGGCGCCGGCGCCAGGGGCGCCCCGGGCACGCCCAGCCCGCTCCCTGTTGGCTGTCACGCCGCCGCGTCCCGCCCCGCCGGGGCGCCCGCCGCCGCCGGAGCCCCGCCCCCTCCGCTTCGCCATTGGCGACCCCGCCTCGCGGCCCCGCCCTTGCTGCTGCCTCATTGGGCGCCACGCACCCGCCCCGCCGCGCGCCCCACGGTCCCGCCGCCCCATTGGCGCGCGGCGCCGCCACTCGGCGCGGAGAGGAGGGGGCGGCCGCCGGCAGCGTCGACGCGATGAGGGGCGGGCGGGCTGCGGCAGCGCCCGCCGGGCGAGCCGCGCTACGTGCCGAGGGGCGGGGCCGGCGGGGCGCGATCGCTCTGCGCGGGGCGACTCCCGCGTCGGGACACGTGGCAGAACGAAGGGGCGGCGCGGGGGGCGGCCGGCAGGACTGGGCGGAGGGGGGCGAAGGGCGCCTGCGCGGCGGCGCGCGCGCGGGGCCTGCCGCGCGGCACGTCCGCGCGCGCGGGTTTGAGCGGGAGGGGCGCTGGGCCGGGGGTCCCGTCACGGGGTCCTGGCGGGGCCGCCCGGGGCCGAGACCGCCCCTACCGGTGGGGCCAGCGGGGCCAGCGCTTCCACAGCCGGCCGGCCGCCGGCCCTGGAGCCCCGAACAAAGGCCGCGGGGTAGTGAGGCGGAGGGACGGCCCCTCCGCGGTAGGAGGGGCCCCGCGGCGCTCGGTGCCCGCGCTCGGCCGAGGGGCTCCGCCCGGTTCCGGTGCCCGCGTACCGCGGCTGCCCGCAGTGAGCGACGCGTGCGGTCCGCAGAGCTGCGGGGACGCGGGAGGAAGGGAGTGGAGCCCGGGCGCGGGGGAGCCGCGGGATCATCCCGGGGGCTGCGCAGCCGCCGCCCCGCCCCGGGGTCGCTGGGCAGAGGTGGCGCACGGGAGGTGCGGGCGGGCGGCCGCCCCCGCCGTGAGAGCCGGCCCGGCCCGGCCCGGCCCGGCCCGCCGCCCCCGCGGGAGGGCGGGGCGGTGGCTGCGGCGGGGCGGCCGGGCCGGATCACGGCGCGGCGATCCAGGCGTGCCGCAGGCTCTGCGCGGCGCTGGCGCGGCGCTCGGGCGCGTAGTGCAGCGCGGGCAGCAGGAAGGCGGCGAAGGCGGCCGCCTCCTGCCGTGTCCAGCCGTGCCGGTCCGCCAGGATGCCGGGGAGGCTGCGGGGACAGAGCCGGGAGAGCCGCAGGAGCGCGCCTGGCAGAAACAGCGTGGGCACGGCGCCTCAGTCACACCTGCGCGGCTGAGGCTGCCGCGCCTCGCCTCGCCTCGCCTCAGAATTAACCCAAAGCATCCCGAAAGATCTTTGCCGCCTTCTTGGAATTATGTCTGTAAGCTCCCACCTACGCCGCCCCTTGCAGGTTGGGCTCTCGGGTGCTTCTCAGGAACCACCTTTTCAAGCCTGATCCTGAGTACTTTCGTTAGGTGAGAATGTGCCAAGAGTGCACAAAGTGTTCCCAGAATAACCATGCCAGAGCCACTGCTGCTTGTACCCTGTGCCTGCCTACAGGCACCCGGATGCATCATGCTATTTCAGTGTCAGAGCTCACAAGACTCTTGTTGAATTTGTTATGTGGCAGCCAGCTCTGTGGGGCCCAGCAGAGCGAGAAGCAACCCTCGTCCTGGGAAGTGCACGGTATAAATATAATGATTCAAGTTAGGCATGTGTGGTCAGGCCAGGTTGGCTCACAGGGAGAGTGAATATAGAACTAGTTTTGACTCATTTTTTTCAAGCACCACAGAAGACTTAAGTGTGAGCAAAGGATGTGGATGTGCAGGGAGGTGCTTAAATTCCAGCATGGGACCAGTACTGAGCACTGAATGAACTGTGGGTAGGCTGGTAAGCATTAAAGCAGAGGATGATAGGCCAAATTGCAGAAGGGTGGAGTCATGTGATGTCTTGTGGTCAAAGATGGATTTCAAGACTCATGAGTCAAAGGGAAAGGAACTGGGGAGAATAAAACAGAAGAGATGTTGCAGTTGGGTCAGCAGACTAAATATAGCAGCCACATTGGAAGGATATGAGTGCCCTGTTCCTGGTTATAATTGTTCTCTGTCAGTGAGCGGGTGAAATGCAGCCTGTTAGACACTCTTCAGCCTTCCTGGCATGGAACTGTTTCCTGTCTATATTTCCATTTTCTCCAAATCTAAAGGAGAAAGAATGGAAATGCTTTCTCTGTTCAATGTTCGCTATGACCATTTTTCAGGATTTTGCATTCATCCCTGGAATGCTCATGGATTGCAAAGATAGGCTGGGCAGGGAGTGTTGCTGCTCTTTATGAAATTTTCATTTGTGTTCCATTCCTGCTTGTAGCCTGCATTATGTGAGTAACTTGGGGGAGTTCAGCATGAGCTGAGTAGGAGTGTGTCAGAGATCTGCAGTGATTTTTAAAATAAACTTCCTTATGCCAATTCTTACCTGGCTTGCTGAAAAATTGTGTTGACTTATTCCATGAGAAAACAGTTTGAGAAGGAATTCTTCCCAAGAGTTCAATAATACGAGCAACATGATCTAGATGGAGGGAGGAAAGACAAATTTAGATACAGACTGTGACACTTCTGTCAGTGAAATGAATAAAAAACTCATGGAGTCCTACCATCATCTCTGGAGAAGTATTTCCCGGGTTGAGGATCAAATAGACACTCTCCAGTTGCCATTTCAAATGCCTAGAAATGGAGTAACAATGTTAATTCACTAATTGTCTTGGAGTTTTCCTTGCCCGCTAACTGGTATTGCCCTCTTTATAACAAAAAACGGATCCTAAAATGTGGAAATACTCACACAGGCATGGTCTGTACCACAGTGAAAAAACACCTTTAGTTCCATCAGGATGAAAAGCAGCACATGCCTGATGCAGGCAAGCCTCTGAGCTAATCTACATGGAGTGTGAATTGCCTTAGAGCTTAAACTAAATTAGGAGTGGGTTGTACCAGCAGCAGACTTTTGCCATAAATTGAATGAGTGCCAACAGCCCCTTTTGCCTTCTCAGAAAGGAAGCTTTCTTTACATGCTAAGGACATGCTGCCCTGCCCAGGTAATGTCTGTCACCTCCCCTACACGCACAGTGCTGTCCCCAGTCCTACCAGGCAGGCACAGTGCTGTCCCCAGTCCTACCAGGCAGGCTGTACTCCAGATATCCGCAGGAGTGCCGTAGTCCAATCCAAGAAGCACTTCCAGGGCACGGTACGGCTGGGTCTGTATCTCCTTGGAAAAAGGCTTGTACTAAAACAGAAACAAACTCCTAAAACCAGTCACAGTAACACTGGTGGTCACAAGCTTCTTGTACAGTGACAGGACATTGGGGACACAAATGTATGTTCTCAGCTATGTGTAGGGCACAGCCAGCACATTCCTGGCCCCACTGACACCAGTGGGAATCTACCTCCCACCATTTCACACTGAACATAGTTTTATTTCTAATTGTAGGGACTAACTGCAAACTGGAGAAAAGTCCAAAACTGACAGTGTCTCAGGAAGACGGTGCACAGCTTGGAGCTGAGAGTGGGAAACATAACACCCCCCAATATCGGCATCTCTGAAATAGCTATTCAGCTGTAAAGGGGCACACAGTGTGGGATGGAAAGAAGCACACAGCATCCCACATTATCACGGGATTGAGACTCAGAGCAGACTCACTGTCCAGCATGCGCTTCCTAGATCTGCAATTTTCACCTCTATGCTCATTAAGTCAGATTCTTCCAACTGATTGCCAAGATCACCTCCTAGATGGAAAGGACAAAAAGAAATCAGGTCTTTCTGAAACAGCAGGTACACACCACTTACCCCAGGAGAGGTATGTTTCTTGGCCTAAAAGCTCCTAAATACTTTTTATTATAAATCAAATGCCACCCCTCTTTTTTGAAGGAACACAAAAAAAGACCTAGTATCCAGTAAAAACATGAGAGAATGTTTGGGAGAACAGTGTGACTATATGCTCCTGTCCTGCTGCAAGGTTCCTCTAGCACCAAGGTTAAATAACTGTGGGCCCAGAGGAGAGCACCAGTCAGAATCAAAACATCTGTAATTTCTTCTGAGCCTTCAGCAACCCTAGCAGTGACAGACCTTGGATACAGCCTGCTTGGCAAGCAATGTGATTACACTTCCATATGATCCCAGAAAAGGGTAATTCCTGGTTTAGTGCCTTACAGTGAGCTGTCAGCCAATGCTTAGTATTGTGCTTTTCTGCTCCGAGCAAAAGACTCAGTCACTAATTTAGCATTCTCTTATTGCCCCAGAATTTGAGAGACAAAACAACACTGTCATGGGAGAAATGCTCACAGGAGAACACAGTGCAAGGATAATGTGAAAGGTCTCAGTGCTGGGAGACGAGATAATCTCTTGAGAAACTCTCCAGCCCTACATCTTATTCAATATTCACGCCATTCTATGCACATAAATTATGTCTCAGAAGGCCCTGAAGATTAGCAGCATGTACAAGTCTCTCACAAACCTCAGAAACGAGGGAAATAAAGAGCAGGAGTGTCATACAGCTTTCTGATCACGCCTTTTTGTATGTAAACCTTTCAGCAGCTGCAAACATCAGGCACGTGGAACTGTCCTGCACCTAAAGGCTTGAGAGGGAGCTCCGAGGTTGTGGTGGGGCTGTTAACAAATATCTGTGACCTGTAGTTGTCCTTCACACAAACCCACCTGCAGGACCACACTTCTGTAGGTGCCTTGAGCCCAGCCTGGTGTTTGTGTTAAGCAGAGAAAGGAGAGGCCTTTCAGCAGCATAAGCTGGCTATAGTGTTTTATAGTGGCTGTTGTAGGAGATGTGAACGTTTCCTAATGTATCTGTACCTGCTGCCTCTCATTTCTCTCCTGTCAGTACACACCTAAGTCCATTTTTTTGTTAAAAAGCCCCGGAGTGCTCACCTGCTCCCTTTAGCTTTCCTTCTGTTCCCTGGTCGCAGTGGAGCGTAGCCATGAGAAGCCTTTGGAGCCGTTTGCTGTGCCCACAGAGCAGGATGTTCTCCGGTTTGATGTCTGCGTGGATGATGCGGCAGCACTCGTGCAGGAAGTGCAGCCCTGCCAGCACCTGGCCAGTGAGGCAGCACTGTCACACCAGCCCTGAGAGGGTCCCCACGCCTCTCCTGGCCCAGCAGCTGCCAGAGCAGGCAGCACAGCGGGAGCGAGTCAGGGACAGTCTGGGCACTGATGGTAAGTAACTATTGGCAGTAAATGGTTTCCTGTTGGGGTGGCCCATGGGAGCAGGCACAAGGGCTCCATCACCCCACACAGCAGCAGAGCCCCAGGAGCAAGTGAACACCTGGACAGCCCAGTGAGGAAAGGGCTGTTTGGGGTGACACACAGCAAAAGGCAGCGTGACAATCCACAAATATCAGCACGGATGGGCAAGCCCAGGGAGGTGGGAGGAGGAGGGGGCTATGAGGAGGCTATTATGATTACAAAGCTGAACTTTTTCCTGAAAAAACATTATTGTTTGTATGGTTGTTGAGTCCTGGGACCTCTGTGCCTTGCCACTGTTTCTAACCAGTCCCAACTTCCATTTGAATGACAGTGACATGTAAAGGCACTGGTGTCAATGACAGGCATGGGAGGGTGTCCCATCATACAAGGAAAGAAGACACAGGCTAACACAGACAGGAGGGGGAGAGACCATGAGTGAGTGCAGAGAGGATTTCAGGGCCCTCCAGGAGAGCCATGTAGGGAAAGAACAGCTTGTGATGCAGCAGGGAGAGCCTGGCCTGTCACAGGGGAGAGATAAACAACACCTACCAGAGATGAACACTCACTATCGGAAATCAATAACAGAGAAAAGGCTACGGGGAGATTTAGGTTTTTTTTTTTACACTCTGGTCAGTCATAAAGGACTGGTAAATATTCTCTGTATTATCAAATTCTATTCTGGGATCAACACCAGCCCCAGGGAAATATCAGCCTTAAATGGTAACTGTGAAATGTGGGGAAAGATTTAAATAACTAAACTGGAATGAATCAGAAGGAAATACTGCCCTGGTGCTGATCTGAAGTGGGAAAACAGAACTGAGATTTTACAATTAAAGCAGATAATGTATCAGCAAAAGCCTGAGTGTGAAATGGAGCACAGAGGTAATGGCACTACATTTTTGTGCAACTTACTCAGGTGTTAGTGGAGCTTCTTTAGAGGAAGGAGAGGCTACTACAGAAAATAGGATGAAGGAGGAAGCAATTTTCTTTCTTAGTATCCCTAGAAGGGCACAGGAATCAGGGTAGCAAATCTTCATCTTGGCAAGTGTGCAGACTTCTGATGAATCTCAGCACGAGAGGCAAAAAGTCATTTTAACTATTCTGAGGCCTCACTCAGGTTTCCCATTCCTTAAGCAGAGCCAGCCCTGAGGAAACTCACTTTTCACCATCTTTTAAATAGGCAGAACACATCATTACAGGGGATGGAGGAAAAGTTGGCTCTGCACAGGAAAACCTCAACATGGAAAAAGAACCAGCTGACCAAATCAGCAATTTAGAAATTTGTGTAAAGATGGGAGGGAGACCTTGAGCAGCCTTCAGTGGTACCATGCAGAAAGCTGCAGGAGCTGACAGTGCTACCCACAGCTGGATGCTAAGGCAAATGCCAGCAGTCTGGCATTACTGACAGAGGGGACTTCTCTGGGCAGCAGGAGGGCAGAGATGGTTTGCCCACAAGAAGTACAACTATGTCAGGCTCTTTGTCCCCTGCTACTTCTACAAGCAGCAGAGTTTACTGAGCTGATGGGAACAGAAGTGCCAGCCCTGACTCCCTGGTGTACATCTGCAGGCTTTTGGCACTTCGTGGCCCTGACTCCTTCCCAAACCTGAGGAGGCTGCAGGCATAGGCAGTAACACCCAAGTCCTTCTCCTTGGGAGGAAGATTGTGGCATGTCCCACAGCCAACAGCCCCTTGGCTCCCTTGTCTGATGGCAGCTGAGTTCTCACCTGCTGTAAAGACTTCTTCACAAAAGGCAAGGGCAGTCCCTGGGCTCTGTAGTTTCCCATCAGACATCGAATGGAAGGACCCAGCACCTCAAATACCAGGCACGCATGTGGGAAACAGTTAGGGATTCATTAACAGGGAAAGGTGTAATCACCAAACTTTGCCTTTCACCAAAGCAATCGAATACCTCCTAATTCAACCTCTCCCCTCCAGCCATGCTCATGTGCCCTGTTCCAGCTGCAGCCCTGTTCATCCTCCCCATGGCAGCACAGCACTCAGGTTTACACCATTCTCGCCAAGGCAAGCCCAGGCTTTGCTGGCCCAGAAAAGCACTCTCCACAGAAGGATATGGAAACCATTCTCTCCAATCATCCTGAAGTCATCTAACAAACAGACAATGTTTTCTCCTGCCAGGTCCTTCTTCTTCATGCAGTTTACCTGAGGGGGAGGATTCCAAGAAAGCTGCAATCAGACATATATGTGCACAAGGACACTTTGCACCTGTTTTATCCTGTCTGACAGGCTTTCTCTTCCGGCACTTCATGACAAATCCTATGAAAACAACATCAGGAAAACCAGGAATGAGTTTCTGTATGTTTTGTCTTGCTCTTAACCAGGTGGGACCATCACACTCAGTGTCAAAACAACCCACACCTGTCCTGCTGATCATATCTAGCACATTTCCTGCTGCTTATTTTCTCCAGGCAGACCCAGAAAATACTCCTGCTTGTGCTGGAAGGGGATTCCCTCAAGAAGACAGCTTCCCATTCCCAGCATCAGTGGTTGTCCATTTCCTTTGCCTCACACCAGCCCTTCAGCAATTTCCCTCAAGGGGCTGCAGAGAGGCAGAGGCATTGTGGCTGTCTTTGGCCACTTGAATACTACTTATCTTATCAGGGTAGAGAGAGCTTCCAAAGCTGGAAGAACACAGTGAAGGAGGCTTCTTTGTGCTGGAAAAGGGCTGGCTGTGGGCAAGTGATCTATAGGATACAGAGGGGTAGTGGAGAGGGTGAACACATTTTGTACTAGAGCCAGGGGTCTTCAAACTCAGCATGCAGTAGATCTAAAAACAAAGCAGAGATGGTTCTTCACACAGCACATGGGTGTCTGGGGACAGTTCTTGTTACAGGGTTACTTGTGTGTGGTTACTGAACCTCACAGGGGCTTGCCAGGGTTCAAGGTATATCCACTGAGAATATCTGCCCACACAAGCATCATCCTTGGCCCGAGAAATCTGCAGCTGGAAATTGCAACAGTCCAGGGGAGCATTCAGTGGGAGCAGCACCCTGTGCTCAGCTTGTCCTTACACCCACCTGGACATGTGCTGTTGGCCCAGAGTACTGTGCAGAGTGAACCTCCAGGCACAGGTACTACAGCACCCCCAGCACCACACACCTGTGTGACAAGGAGCACCAGGGGCTTGCTCTCCCAGAGCACTTATCCTGGTACAGCAATTCATGCTGGTTTTTTCTCTCTTCACGGCCACAGCTGCCAGGGTTTTGGTTTGACTCATTTTGCAGATACCAGATCCACCTGCAGCAGTGCTAGAAGGTTTGTTCTGGCACAACGGAAGTGAGCAGCCCTGGAAGCAGAGACCAGATCATCTCTTCTGGCAGCTCTGCAGGTGCTAACCCCCCAGTGCTGGTGGGAACAAGCCTTGGGAAACAGCTGTGTGCTGCTGAATGGGCAGGCATGTCTCTCAGAATTAATAATAAATCAGGGGTAAGGCTCACTCTCTACACAGGGTTATGCTGATGTGTAGAAAAGCAGCCCTCTGATTACATTAAATTGGTGCCACTTGGTACTTCCTCTTGCATCACTGCATCTGGCTCATCTCCTTTTAGATAAGGCCTACAGATTTACAGGTGTTAACTAAACCTTTCTTAAACCTGTTGGAGAAAGGCCACAGAGTAATTTAAAATGCAGCATTTAATAGCTTTTACTCATCTGAAGCTGATGCAAATTTGTATTTGAACAAACTTGAAGAATTGTAACCACAAGCTTTCTAGAACTAGCACTTCAAGCCAATTTCAAAGGCAACTTGCTACAACCCAGGTACAGGCACCTAATTATCACCTCCATTAGCAGAGGCCAGAAGAAGTTTTCTGACTTTGGATGTTTCTTATGTTTTGGTACATCATATATTTTTCTATTGCAGATATTTTCTTTTACTTCCATATCAGTGTTATGATACAGCAATGTGCTCTGAGTGATGTTCCTCTGTGAATGATACAGGTACAGTAGACATACTCCCATCTCCTGCTTTAAGAACATTACCACCTTCTTCTATTGATTATCTACCTTATCATTCTCCAGATTCCTCCTCTTTGCTGGATTTCAGTCCCAGCTAAAAGAAAGAGCAAGTGGAACACAGCCAACATATCCCAGTATGATGCAAGAAGGAAAAAATGCCTGTTTCAGAGGCCAGCGCTGAGCCAGGGTAATTTCTATTAATTACCCAGCTTTTGTTTTTTTTTATCCTATTCCCCACTTAGCTCCTTGGACTGAGACCTGGAGGCAGAGGGGATGATGAGGCTGATACTCAAACCTGAACTCAGTGGCCATTCACTGGAGCAAAGCACAAACCCACAGAATATACTTACACAGCGGAGGAAAGCAACCTCATCCTGGGCAGTGTCAGCAAAGCCTTCCCTGCTTTTCAGAACCTTCACAGCTACCTGCTTCTGCCTCCTGGGAAATGAACCACAGCTGTCAACCAATGCATGTCAATGGCCCTGACCAGCAGCACTTCCCTTTCTCCCAGTCAGGCAGCCCTGGGCTCCCCAGGGAAGGTGCTGCCCCTCTGCAGGCACCCATGGGCATTCCTCCTGCTGGCATCTGGCAGCACATCTGCCCCAGGGACCAGCAGGGACTGGAGAGGAAAAGAGCATAGATACTGCAGGGTCTAAACAAGAAAAGAAAATGTAGAGCAAGGGCTGATCCCACCTCATTTACATTCTTTGATTTCTGGGGACCAGCTCTGCTCGTTGCACCCCACTGATCTTGCTGTCAGGTTTTCCCTGTGCTCAGGGATGCCTGGCATGCTCCCAGACTGTGCTCTGCTGTTTCTGCAAGAGGGGCCAGCCCCACCCAGGACATCAGCCACCCCTTCCCACCTCCCTGAATGGCACTCAGCCCCTCACCTCATGTCCTGGCACAGCCAGACAGTGGCAAAGGCGCCACGTCCCAGCTTGTGCAGCACCTGGTATTGCGTGTTGAACACCTCTCCCTCCTGCATGGGGTGGTGGCCTCCTGTGGAAAACCATCGCCAAGAGATATTAATGACATCTCTAAGTGCTTTTGGACTGAATGAGCAGCTGAGGACAGCCTGACAGGTCCCAGTGGGCTCCTCTAGCCTGGGAAGAGTCTGGCATGATCTCATCTCTGGAGCCTCATGGCCAAAGACTGACCTGTGTGCTGGGCTGATGGCATCTCCTGCTGCACCTGCTCCTCCATGGCCCTGGAGCACGGCAGATCCTGGCACAAGGGGATGGAGGCAGTGGGACATGGGCAGTGTGAGCTTCAGCACTTTATTCTTTCCAAGAGAGCTGGAGAGCTGCAGGGTGGCCATATCTGCTGTTCCCTCACCCCTTTCCTTCCCATTCCCTTCAGCAGCTCTCGGAGTCAGGCTGTTACAAACACTTCTGGCACTTCAGGGAGACAGGGATTATTTTAAGAGTTCAGAAGAGGAAAGCTGGCAGGCTGGTCCCAGGCCAGGGCCAGGTGGGAGTCTCAGGTTTCCTAGTGTGTTTTTTCAGGGGCTTAGCAGGGTCTCTGGGACCCCCTCCCTACCCCCATCCTGGCTGAGGAGGGAATTTGGGCTTTGGCTGGCATGAGAAGGCTCCTGCTCCAGAGGGGTGTGAAACAGAACTTTCATTCTAAACATTACAGTGCTGCTCCTCTGTCCACAGTCCAGCCCTGGGGCTGGAGCACGGGTTTATCACTGACCATCCTGTGACATCCCAGCAAAGCCACAGGACATCCTGGCAAGGGGCTGCTCCTGGGGTTTGTTACTATGACAGTCCACAGTCCAAAGCATAAACACCAAGGCAGCACAGTCAGACTGATCCAACTGCTGTCCCCCAGTGCTGCAGCACCAAGGTAGGACTGGATTCAGTACAGGTCACCTGAAATAGCAGCACAGAGCCCTTGCTGCTGATGAAATACAGATTTAAGCCACAGTAGCTGGGGCACTCCCAACCCAGCCTTTCATAATTTGGAAATGTCACTTGCTGTACAGCTGAAGCTTCAGGCTAGCACACACTGTCAGCTCGAGACAGGTGATAGTAATGCCCATAGAGCATTAGCACAGATAGAAATATTGAACTTTAAATCCCCCAAATCATGTTGCTAAAGCCAAGAACTCATCTGAACCAGAAGATTTTCAGAAATAGTTATAGAGGGCTGGCAGTGCTGGTGGCAGGGAATTGTTCTGGAACTGTAACATCTTACAGCTGCTGAGACAGAGCACCTGTTTTGACTCAATGTTTTGCCTTCCTCCAAACATTAAAGTTTCTTTCCATGTGCTGATGTTCCTCTCCCAGCACAGCAGCCAGAGGCACAGCCTGCCTTTGGGCATCCAGTGAGCTCCCAACAGAGTTCTAGTTAAGGGTCAGACTGGGCTCAAGACTTTCATCCTGTCAAGGAAAACCCAAAGTCCCAGAGATGATGTTACTCTGTTCACCCATGCCTGCACAGAAGTCCCCCTCCTCACATCTCTACACCTCTAACCTTTGCATTGCTGTTCAGAATCAGCTTCTTTGGGTAAAAACTGCTGGATGCTGCATGTCTGCATGGCCACTCTTTACAGTAAATGCTCCCTGACATCTCACCTATGAAACAGAACTGAAATCAAAATTTTCCTTATTTGTGCACAGACTAAGCTTACCAGTACCCTCACGCACTTCTGCACCACCAGCATCTGCTTCTTCACTCACATCATGAAGACAGCAGGACCTGAGCTGAGAGCAAGCAAGCTTTAATTCCATGGCTTACCATTCACCTGCTAAAGGAAAACCCATGAGTGGGTGGAGATGGGAATTCAACAGCTTCTTCCCTTAGTGGAGTGTTCTGGTGATAGGAGACTTCAGTGAGAAAATAGGACCCAGAGGCAGACCCAAAGTATAAGACAGCCCTAGGGCTGATGGAGCTTTTTGGCAGTTCACTGGGCCCTGGTAGCCTTGTTGCTGCAGAGGCAAGACAAGTCTATCCTTAGGCATGTAATATTTACCTCCATCCACCCTCTCTGGATGGAAGAACTGGCAAAAGATGAAGAGTGTTGCTATGCAACTTGGTACAGGAAAGTGAAATGCACTTTTCTAAGCTTTGTGATAAAGGACAATTGGTGCTTTTAATCCTTCATTTCTTGACACTTTCACATTAAATGCAACTTATTTTGCTTTTGTCATTCCAACTATTTTGTGGAGAACCCACTGAATTGCTGCAAGCCTGGACTAGCTCAGAGAACTTCAGCCCACGAACTGCTCCTGCCTAGCTTGTGAGGGCCATGGACAAGGAGCAATGGCCTGGACTCCTCCACCCAACTTGCACAAACAGTGTACAGAGCTGGCCAACACCAGTCATGCCTCATGACACGTGGACCTTTGGAGTGGCAGAACTCACCAGAGCAATACACACTTTCAGATTCTGCACCACCACAGACCTACAAGCCCTTGCTGAGCACAGCACCCCTGCAAGTCATGGCATGCAGCCCACAAGCAGCCCTGGCAGGGCTCTGAGCCCCAGGGCCCAGCCCAGACTCACCATACAGCAGCTCAGGGGTAGGACACGCCATTCCCTTTGTCATCTGGCTCGCTCTGGAGCTCCCCAAAGTGAGATACCAGCTGATCCTGCTCTGATTTTAGTCTGCACTGTCCCAGGAGGGATGTCCTTGAGCCCACCAAAGTTCTGCATCGCTGGATGGACATGGTGAGGAGTGGGGCAGGGTATCAGATCACAGCACCACTTCTGGGAACAATCTTGGCTTTGGGAGAGCAGGAGACCTCAGACAGCTGCGGTGGATTCACTTTACTGCTGGCCTCTCCCTGCCTCCCTGGCAGCAGGCCTGTCAGCCTGCAGTAGATTCAGTCTCCACAGCAACTATTTATAGCGGGAAATTCACAGCTCTACTGAGATGGAAACAGAGAAGTCCTCCCCCTCTGCTCTGCCTTCTCCAGACCCAGAAACTGTGGGGCTGCCTGTCTCTTCCCCCTGCTCCCAGCAGTGTGGCAGCAGGACTTGCTCCTGCAGCACCATCTTCTGCCAGGCAGAGCCATCCCTGTTCCCAGGCCAAGCCGTGTGCCAACTGCCGGAGCTGGGGAACCTCAGCCTCTCCAACAGTGCCCGCACACAGCCCAACACCAGCACAGAGCCCATGCTGCCCCTGTTCCTGCCTCGTGGAGAGCAAGCACAGCAGCATCCTCCCCACAGCCCTGGGGGCACACGAGCATCCCAGCACCATGCAACACTGGGGAGGAAAAGGCCATGCACAGTAAGAATCACATTTTTTCCCCCCAGTGCCACAAGCTGTAGCCTCACACCGGAGCTGGGCACGCCTGGCTCCCCCTCACTGGGGCCCTGGGCTCGCAGAGCTCGGGTTTCCTGGCGGAGGCTGCAGAGAGCAGGTCCCAGCCCTGCAGCAAAGGGTTAACCCTGCCTGCAGTAGCTCTGCTGCAGCTCCAGGCTGCCAAACCCAGGCCAGGGCCTCCCAGAGTGGTTCTCCCCCTGCCTGTGCCCCTCTGCTCTCACCTGCCTTCCCTGCACTAAAAATACCAGGGGAGGGGGCAGAGGCTGCGCCAGGCCGGGGCTGAGCCCTGCGGGGCAGCGTGCAGGGGACAAGTGGTTTGTGACCCCGAAAAGGGCAACAAGAACAGGAGTGCAGAGAGGAGGGACTAAAAGAGGGGGAGAAGCAGACTGTGCAGAACTCTGCTAGTAAAGGAGGGAAGGAAAGAGGACAGATGGGCCAGGAGCCAGATTGCTGTCTGGGAAGAACTGTGAAATTAATTTAAAAATTGTTTTGGTAAATTAGGAGCACCGGTTTCTGCCTCACACTAGTGGACAACAGTGCTCCAACACTGACCAACAGTGATGGTTCAGCAACCCTTACCCACAGTGAGGGACCACAGCCCAAGCTGCCACGCACCAGGTGGCCCCAGTGCCAGCCCAAGACTGTGGAGGGAGGTTGCCTGCTCCCGTGGGCAGGGATGGTATTTGAGCTCTGGAAACTGCAGAGGGATGCAGGTGGAAAGTGGCACAAGGTTCACTTGAAGAAACACAGCCTAGGGAGGAGGGAAAAGCCTCCTTCTTCACACAGCTTCCAGGTCCTGGTGCTTAAGAGCAGTTTCCACTTAGGAAGAAAAAGAGGTGAATACATTCTGTGTAATTGCATCAGCATGCAATACCAGCATGACACAGAGGTTGTATATTAAAATTTATTGAATTATTGTGTAAGAATTCTCTTTATTAAAATCATTTTGACTCTAAACTGATTATTTACAGACAAAACCTCTTATATCACCAATAGATTCCTACATCTCAGAACAGTATCTACAAACAGTTATTACACTATGTAACAAAATTCAGAATTTTTTTTCAAGCTTTTTATATTAATTATTAATTCAAACTTGAGAAAGACAGTACCTTGGGTGCTCTGAGCAGAACCTAAGGTGTGGCAGGGCATAAATGCAGGTCAGGTCATACCATAACAGACAGACAGACACCAAGTCACAAGGCTGGGAGAGAGCAGAGTCACCACGACACAGATCAGGAAAAATACTACAAGAGCAAATGCCCTGGGTGTTCTGGAAACCAAAATAACCATCCATCCCCACAAGAAAGGCACACATTAAAAAAAAAAAAAAAAAAAAAAAAAAGCAAGCAGCATCTTGCTGCAACCAGGGCACACCCTGAAAAAGAAATGGCATTCCACCAAAGCTGCAGCATCCAAGAACTCTCTATTTTAATTTTAAAAAAATCAGCCATCATGTCTCCCAAAATAAAAAGCTTTCAGGTACAGCCTGAATTTGCCACCAGACAAATGAAAGCAATTGCTCTCACATCTACGTCATGTGGGTGCCAGCTGTGCTTCATCCAAAGGGAGAGACATTCAAACACACTAACAGAGATTTATATTTATCTTAACACTGATCAGTTCTCAGCCTTTCAGCCAGACCACGGCAAAAGCAAGTCCCTCCCTCTGACCACAGCACTAAATAAAGCTGGGTGCCTGCCACTCGGGAACATCACAGCCTGGGAGTCCCCCTGGAGCAGCGACATCCATCCCTGTGTCCCACAGCAGGGGACCGGCCGCGGTAGCAGGGCTCTCTCTGCTGGTGCCCACTGAACTTGCTACCTGTGAGCAAACAGGAACATCCAGACAGGATTCTCTGTCCTTGACAAGGAATGTCTGGTTGCTTGTGGAATCAGGCAGAAACTGGAAAAAACTTGGAAGGATCATGAGGAATAAATAAATACGTTTTCCCTGCAAAAGGGAATTTCTTTATAAAACCTGTTTTGTGCAAATTTAAATGCAACAGAACCCTGCCACAGAAACGGATTTTGCCACAGGAGAGGGGCACGGACGGAGGTAAGAGGGGCCATGCCTGAACACCCAAGCTGATCCCAGTGCGTGTCCACAGGGAGGAGGATGCTGGTATCTAGAACACCGAGGACAGATGGATGGGAGGAGATGGGCACTACCAGCTTTCCACCCTCACTGCACCTGCACCGGGCAGTGTGTCCTGTCCAGCCATGCAAGGACAAGCTGAACATGTTAAGTAAGTCGATCACCTATGTTTAGCTCTATTTTTAAGTCTTGATTATCCTTCTAATAAAAGCAGACTTTCACAGATACACTCGGAGAAAGCAGATGATTTCCAACATCCAGGAACACAGAAGCAGAGAGAATGTGGATACCAGTGGGAGGTGGAATGAGAATTAAGCCTCAAGCCACTCTGTTCTGGGAACGTGCAGAGATAATTCTGCAAAAATAGGGGCAGACACTTACAGTCTGTAGAGCCAGAAATTCAGTGGAGTTTCTGT